CTAATACATTCACCCACTAATCTGTATTAATATATATCTGGCTAAGTGACTGTGATGTACAAATTACTTCCTGCATTAAATTAAATTAAAACACAGTTTCTCAATGTGTATAAATATATATCAGTGTGTATCTTTCAACTATGTTCACAATTGATTAACCACATATTATGCATGTGATTTCTTATAAGTATGGATAAGGATGCTGAATATGATTATATGCAAACAATTTGTTATTTATATAAGGGTACTAAAAAGACATAAGAACCCAAACAGCAACAATACAAGCAAGGATTTTATAATTAACAAATCATGCTATTAGGTTTTGCTAGCTTAGGATTTCTTATACCTATCAGCTATGTGGAATCAATCTGAATAGGGTGGTACATACTCAGTGTTGATTTATGCGTGTTCCTGCTCACAGCATCCTACCATTTGTGGGATGAGCGATCACAATGGACAAACAGTCTGAATGAATTTTTTTGTTGTTGTTGAGGAAAAGAGTAGCTGAGATCCCTTTTATTTTTTGGCAAACCTTTAAAAATGATACTTTAAGTAAATTATGAGGGTTTTCCCATTAAACTTTACAGCATGTCAAATGAAAACTACTAAAGCTTGAAAAGACACTGGCAAGGGGAAATGAGAAAAACAATGGAAAATTGCTGCAATTTATAAATGAAGCCCATTTGCCTGACATACGAAATCTCTCCTGTCCAACAATTCTTCGGAAAACAAAATGACGGAACTTGTATCTCCCCTATGTAACTAAAAAAAAAGCATCTGAGTGATGTGGATAGGGTGCAAGAAAAGATGTTGCTTGTCAAGAATTCCAGAACTCTTACCAGTAATGAATAAAATATTAGGAAATTGTACTGATGATGGTGGAAAACATTTTTGAAGAAGACTAACATATAGAAAATTGATCCCAATTATTTTCCAATACCTTCTTATGTGTTAAATGCATGGAGGTAAGAATAAAAAGAGGGGCCAATGCTCACTGCTTTGGTCTCCAGATGGGATGTTTTTTGTTTATATTCACAGCTTCCTTGACAGCGCTTTGATAGTATTTCCACACACGACGGTTCCATACAAATAGAAAAGCATGACACTTCCACATAAAATAAACATTAATTGTTGGATGGATAATAGAAGTTTGTATAGCTTTAGTGACGTTTACGCAAAAATCACAACTTGGTTAGTTTTCAGTAACTTGCCAGTGATTTTGGCAGTACCTTTAAAATTATATACGTCTTTCGATACTCTTGACAGAGTATTCGCTACTTTTATTTTATGATCCAAATAAAATACATGTTTTGTCATTCACATATTATCATTTTATGTTTATATAACTGAAAAATAATCACTTAGAGTTAATTAAAAAATAAAGTTCTCGCTTTTTTAAAATTCTAGCTAGCAATATGTTTAATTGATGACTAAATATAATATAAAATTATGAATGAAAAATCTTTGTTATTCAATATACAGTCAAAAGTCGTTAATTCGGACACCCATAATCCGGAATGATCTATAATCCGGACCGCAAAGCTACAACTTTCTGCGCATGCGTCGCGTTCACGCATGCGCACAGGCGTTTACGAGAGCGCGTAAGAACCTTACGGCTGCGAATATGTTTGTGCGCATGCGCGTTTAAATTGTAACGGAGTTATACGCTAAGCTAAAGTTATCTAATTCAGTTAATGTTGCCGATTGCGTTGTTCCTTAATCTTCGAATTGGATCCGGCTTATTATTTTTTGCAGACTGTCAGAGCAATTTTATAAAAGTAAGCTTGAACTTTCGATTATGTCAAATAGAATTTCCGATATATATTTACTACAAAGCGAAAGTATGTTTTGAAATCCGAAATCTGTTTATCAATTTCATGCTGCTCTGCGGCAGAGGGGGGGGGGCAGAAACGTCATTATTAGATTATGATAGATTAGAAAGATTATGTCAAATAGAATTTCCGATATATATTTACTAATATGTAATTTGTATCTACAAAGCGAAAGTATGTTTTGAGAATCCGAAATCTGTTTATCAATTTCACGCGGCGGATTGGGAAGTTGATCTGTCAACACTATCCTTATCTTCAGGGCAGATGTTTTTATTTTATTTGGTTTATAATTCCATACTAAGTGTAGTATTTCATCTCGGTCTTTGATATGATTTAAATCAAGTTCCTCGTCATTATAATTCGCTTCCGATAGTGAAGAAAGTGACCCAGAGGTTATTGAAAACGAAAACATTTCGATTGACAAATTAGTCGGTATTCTCAACACAGCAATTATAGGACTTGAACAGCGGAACTTTGTAACTAAACAAGAAATTATGTCTGTTTAATAGAATTAAAGAGAAAGTATTATCACATGAAACGAAGCAACTTACATTGAAGGAAATGTTTAATAAAGTAAACAAATAAATATTAAGCTTTTTTTTTTTTTTTTTTGTAAATTTTGATACCCTTTAGATCATAATTGTTCTTTATTTCATAAATTACGGTTTCATATTTTTAATTTTGTAATTTCTGCATGCCATCTTACCAGATTTAAACTGATGATCTATAATCCGGAAAAATCGATAATCCGGAATCGCCGAAGTCCCGACGAGTCCGGATTAACGACTTTTGACTGTACATACTTGAGTAGCGGTGTTATTTTTGAAAGAGTTTCAAGACGTGAAAAAAGCATCATCAATGCTATTATAATCAGTATACTTTGCATATTGCTACCTTTTCAATTACCTCACAGTATGAAAATGTCAGGTATTTGTGAATTTAGATCAATCAGTTGTTTTAACTGTTTTAAAAAATGAAGCAATATTATGTACAGCAAGGCAATCAAGATTTCGATCTGATGACAGTGAGGTTAATGTTTAAATATGAAATGGATATTTATTATGTTATTAAAGAACTATAAAAATGTATTAAATTGCTAAAAGAGGTATTGAATACTCGGTACTTACGTATTAACGCAACCAGGCCAAAATTCGCATAAATAGCCAAATTTGGCGACCCTACTTACGACAACCCTACGTGTTATACGTAGTTTTTCGTAAAGAAATTATTTTTCTTACTGGTTATATTGAATGCCCTGAAATACTTTTAACTATGGGTATTTGGGATCTGCCTGCGAGTGAAAAAAGATGCTATTGAATTGTTGCAGGGATACGGAATTATACCAAACGAACATACTTTGTAAAAATTCTCATAAAATGAAACTGTATTTTGGAAAGCAAATCTTCTGGAAACGTAACGTCGAAGAGTGCAATCAACATTTGGGTGTGAGAATCAGAAATTGGTTTGAAGGTAGCTGAATTTCATTTGTGACAGCGGTACGCTTCATTTATTGTTGGTGTAAAGAGTTAACCTCAATTAAATTTTGTGCAGAAGAGATGGGAATTGCTGACAAAATTGTTATAGAGAGGATATATGTGCCCTTAGTGCTAAAAGCAATAGCCAAAAAATTTCCGCCGAAAAAATAATTCTGCAACTTATTCAAATTCGAAACCGGAAGGGTTTAATTGCTATTTTATATTTTAAAACAAAATAATATAAAAACTGTATTAAAAATTATCTTTAATTAATAATGTACATTTTCTTCTATTCATACTTTTTTACTCAAACTTACAAATCGTGCCAACCTGGTTGCGATAATACGTAAGTACCGAATACTCTGCCAAAATATATTTACTAGAAAATTTGAATTTGATAATGAATGTATCCTAAAACGTTTTTCACACCAAAAGTTTGAGACTTGATGGCTACATGTAAATATAAAATTATGCATGTTAAAATATTTGTAATTAGGCACACAGGTCAGGTTAAGTTTTTATTAAATAGGGTAAGCATGCAAGGGCTGTCTGCCTAAAGGAAGAGATGCCATCACGGAGAAATTTCGAAGGAAAACTGACTTTGAATGGGTATTAGAAATAATGCATATAATTTTCATTCAAATTATATTTATACATATTTCTTATGTAAAAAATTCTCGTACATGCTAAATTATTGTAAATTGCTTTACTCGAAAAGGATAGTATATGCACAGAAATTAGAGATTTGCACATGCCGAAAATGAAAAGTGTTAAATTATATGTGGGTATTTATGCATATGCTTGCAAAAAGCAAATATCTTATTTATTTCGTATTATATTCATATTTATTCATTCATAAACTCCAGTGAAAGTTACTGTGAAGAAATCTAGTTATTAAATATATCTAAATTTATAATGACTATAATTATTATCGAAGTGTATAATAAACTTAACATTTAATTGTAAACATAAATTGGAATTCTGTTGACAGATATGTTTATAAAACATTTAAGCAAGAATTGTTCATACTGGAAAGCAATCTGTTATAAGGTATTGGAAAGCAAATCCTATGAGATGTGTACTTAAGGAAGTAGTACAGTTTTTACAACATGTATTGTTGAAATTAAGGGTAAAAAATATCTGATAAGTATTAAAAGAATTACTTCTTTACATTTTATAACTCAGTTATAAGTTTTAAATAATATTTAAAAAAATAATCCTTTTTTTTATTCCCTTTCAGAAATATTCATAGAAAGTTAAGTACATAGAAATCAGCTCCAAAATTTAACATATCTCACTATTAAAATAAAAGGTGCTCTAATTTTAGATGAAATGAACAGAGCATTAATTATAAATTGACTCAGACCTTCAATTTAAAAGATGCTTCAGAAGCTAAAAAATAATCTCGTAATTGAGAACGTATTTTAGGAAGAAGCTCTGTAAATAGATAAGAAATAATGCATAATTTTAATATTAATAATACAATAGACTTTGATCTTAATTTTTGTAATCCTTAACTGAATAAAATCAAATTACCTTAAAAATTTTTCTAATGTAGTTAACGGAAACTTTTCATTCAAATTAAACTGTTCTGGGAAAAATACAGCATTTTTAAACAACATTTCATTCAGTTCAGAATGAAATGTTGTTTAAAAATGCATTTTATTTACATACTTAGGACTCTGAAATATTGTAGAAAAAGAAAATATATACATTTATACATCTATTTATGATGAAATTACAAAATGTTTACATCTGATCACACCAAAACCCATTGATCTTAATGGTAAGGCACTGAATGTTTTGGTCTCACCGAAGGGATCGCTGCTGCTTCAAAGCAGTGAATGAGAAAAACCGATTAGAGCCTCTCCTTTTACTTCCTACCTCCATGATTAAATGCATGTACTGTCTCACCAAAGTAAATTCATATATCTTCTAAAACAGTTTTTGTTTACAAATGATTTAAGACATACACGTTCTCTGCTCAAAGTGGATATGTTGTACATGTTTCACATAACTTAAAACAAATAAGTCAAATAACTGTATTATTTTATCATTACTGCATTTTTTTAGTCTGGATCATCGTTTCTCTCGATGTGAGTCAATACATATATCACATACATCTAACTTCACACCACTGTACACAGGGTTGCTGCTAAATATAAACAACTGCCTAAGCCACCAGCTAAAGTGAGATGATAGTTAAATAAACATTTATTTAACTTATGCTGTGAATTATTAATATGTTTAATTTTTTATTTGTAACTAATGTACACATGGCCTAAGACATAGATGGAGATGGATCTACAACAGAGAAGTGTATGGATGTTTTAAGGAAACTTCATTTATCAGTAAATGATTTGTGGCATATATAACATGAACATGATATCTTGACGAGTTTTTAGAATTTGCTGATTTACGAATTACTTGCTATATGCATCAAGCTCTTACAGTTTGTTATCGACATGGATAAGCATATGTCCATTTAAAATACTTTTGTTGGCAAATGACTTGTTACATATATCACAAGAATATGGTTTATCAGAATGGATCAGCATGTGTCTGATCAAATTACTTTTGTGTGCAAAGGACTTGCTACATACACTACATGTATGCTGTTTCTCATGAGTATGGATAAGCATATGCATGTTTAAAGAACTTTTAGCTCCAAATGACCTGCCACATAAATCACATGCATAAGGCTTCTCACCAGTGTGGATGCGCACGTGTTTGTTTAAATTACTTTTGTGTGCAAATAACTTGTTACAAATATAACACGCATGTGGTTTCTCACCAGTGTGAACAACACTATGTCTGTTTAAACAATTTTTCTCCGTAAATGACTTGCTACATATATCACATGTGTGTGGTTTCTCGGTATGTATCAGTATGTGTCTCCTTAAATGATACTTGTCAGCAAATGATTTGTCGCATAAATTACATGCATGAACTTTCTTACCAGCATGGATAAGCATATGTCTGCGCAAATGACTTTTGTGTGCAAAAGGCTTGCTACATATTTCACAAACATATGGTTTTTCACCAGTATGGGTAAGGATATGCATATTTAAAGAACTTTTGTCTGAAAATGACTTAATACATACATAGCACACGTGTGGTTTCTCACCTGTGTGGATGAGAATGTGTCTGTTTAAATGACTTTTGTGAGCAAACGACTTGCCACATGCATCACAGGCATGTGGCTTTTCACCAGTGTGGACAAGTGTATGTTTCGTCAAGTCACTTATGCGTGTAAATGACTTGCTACATGTTTCACATGCATGTGGTTTCTCACCAATGTGAATAAGCATATGTGTGTTTAAATGATTTTTTTCTTTAAATGATTTCATACATATATCACATGAATGTGGCTTTTTAGCAGTATGGGTAAACATATGTCTGTTTAAACGATGTTTATCAGTAAATGACTTGCTACATGCTCCACATACATGCAATTTGTCAACAGTATGGACATGCATATGCTCACTTATATCACTTATGCATCCAAATGACTTGCGACAAATATCACATCCAAATTGTTTCTGCTTTTCCATATGGATAAACAGGTGTGTTTCTAATTCTTTTTAGGAAATTGACATACAACATACAAAACAATTACTATTTGATCTTAGATGAATATAGATAAGCATATATATCTCTACTGTAGTGTTTCACTAGAGTAGAAAGGCAATTTTTTTAACATGACATTTTTGCAAGCTACATATGTATGATTGATACAGTCTCTCATTAGCTTTATACTCTGCATTCCACATGAAAATATTATGTTCATGGTTTAATATTTTGTCCAGAATGGAGACATACTATCCCTTAGCTTCTTTTACTGTTTCACCATGAAGATTTTAATATTAGCAATGTTTAAAGATCTATTCAGAACTGACAGCTAAGGAGAAGTGAAGTATTAGAAACAATATACACAAAATTTCTTCTCATATTGATGTATATTTCTCTCCAGCTATATTTTAGTGCAGAAATCTTGGAATTATATTATATTATGTTTTCAGTTCATCAGTGAATAAAATATGTTTAAATACAAATAATTCCTGGCATGCCTAAATGTGAAATTTCTATATATTTATGTGTAAAGAACTCTTTACACTTCCTAGCATTTGCAAGTAAAAGCTAAATGAATGATTTTACATAAGTCTATTTTCACAAATCACAATTCTAATTAGCTAATTTATCAACATAAAAAAGTTCCGTTTTGAATTTCCGCAAAAGGTATATTTTTTTTTTCTCCCTCTATTTGACGCTCGATTTCATTTACATCTTTCAACAATGCGTACATGCATAAAACATTTAGTGTCATACATTCGCACAACAGTAATTCTCCGTTCAAGAAGTTTTAAGTGACCAAATGTTTTGAATTTTCACGTCTGAGATTATGCTTGCAATCACTTGAGTATATGTAACAATATTTACTGCTGACCTTCTACTACGAATACAACCGAAGGATTTGATATGGCAGGAAAGAAAAAAAAAAGACAACACAAAACAAGCTATGCTGCTCCTTGCGTTGAACTTGTTTACAATTAAAAAAACATAATAGCGGAGTAAAAAAAAAAAAAAAAAAAAAAAAAAATTATGCACCAGTTAACACGTCTTTTTGCCCGTAATGAGAAAATGAATTTTGATTTCTTGATTGAGTTATTTTCATTATATTGGTTATTGACACCAAAGTGCCTGGGTACGGACAAAGAATATATAGGGACCTTCTTTGGTACCCTTCACTTTCTTTGTTACGGAGACCCTACCCCATGAGGAGCAATTTGACCTTCCTAATTATATACACAAGAATTTTACTGTTTAGGAACAGATACAGTAGTTTTTCTAGGGAGATGAGGTGATAAGTACTTTTTTTTTGGAATAGTTTTACTCAGTTACGAAATAGTAAGTGAAAATTCAAAATAGTGACACATACCGCAGTGACTAATCTCACCGACAGTGTGAATAGCTAACAGGCTAATCACACCACCTACGTTCGCGCATGCGCACAAGCAGCCCAGGTACCAGCATTTACGCCGATTTCCGTAAGGCAGGCGGTAGCAAGGAGGTTAGAATAGAGGTCGCCGCTTTTTCAGATGGCCCAGACTTTCCTTTGCCCATCGATGACGAATAGCTGATAGCTTTGGGCTGTGTCTACTTGTACGACGTCGGACGTTTAGCTGAAACATGGTAAAAATGCTAAACGTACGACTAGTTGCGCAGAGACACTTTCGTGATTTCTGCGCATTCCAACCAGTCGTAAAGAGATTTTGTTTACATTGCCCTCCAGTATATTGCTGTTAAAGGAAAAAATTATACACTATCCGACATTGAAAATACAACACTAAGAAGGAGTGGCCCGAAAATTATACAAATGTCACCGAGTTATGCGAATTATGTGAAATGCGCGGCTCTCCAGCGCACGTTGAAGAAGGTATAAGAAAAGGAACCTGTAAAATGTTCAATTTTCGTGCTGTTAATTTTCGTGCTGAGTGCGCAGTGCTTTCTATCAGGAGGGTGACGCCTAATCACACACTGCTCACATCAGCCAATGTGCTCTGCAAGCTGTACATATACTTCCCTGTCCACCGTTCTGTCCTGAGCTCTCATCAATCGAACATATCTGGGATGTGATTGGACGTCATTTGCAGATCCTGCCATTGCCATGTTCAGAAGACGAACTGTGGCAAATAGTTGACAGTTAATGGAGAGCCGTTTCTCAGGATACCATCCGGTAGTCTCATTGACTCTGTACCTAGACGTGTTGCTTCGTGTATCTCCGCCCAAGATGGTCCTATAACCTACTGAGCCGAAGCTGGTCCTATAAGATGTCCTGAGCGAATATACTGAGCTACTGAGCGAATATTATATATAAATTTATCAGGTTCAATGTTCCGTCTTACTTTTCTTTGGGAACATGCAAGGACCTGACTCGGAACAGGGAGCTTACTAAAGCTATGTTCAATAACTGTGGGAAGTAGACAGATACACAAGAAGGGTATACAAAACCCTTTATTTTTCACTCTTTACAATAATTTCCTTACTTCGGAATACAGAGACCAACTACTTGTGGTCTGAACGTAAGAATATAAAAATATAACTAAACTCTAACTTAAATTTGGAATAATA